CCCCAAAACCCCAAAACCCCAAAACCCCAAAACCCCTTGTCTCCATCATCTAACTGACGCTTAGAAAATGTCTCCTGTGCATGTACAGGAGAAGGGTTGTTTAGGGGTAGAAAATTGTACTGGAAATTGGAAATTTAGGTGAGGGTTTGGGTGGAGGGGTGGAGGAGTGGAGAAGAGAGGGGGTGAGGGGGTTGTTATTAGTGGAGGTGGGTGATATGGTTTAGTATAGGTGCGGGCGAGATTTTAGTGATGGTCTTTGGTGAAGTTGTTACTGGGTTTTTGCATATTGTTTTGGGGTTTGAATGTTTTGTATGGAGATTGTTCTCTAAATTGTTTGTAAATAATCCATTTCTAAGTGTGGGCTATTCTTTAAGCTTGGAAAATATTTATTAATGCTTTTATGACTCTGATATGCTTCAAATTTTGTTATCAGAATCAAGGGATATTTTAGTATGATGATGAATTAAGCATCTTTCACTCTGATCGCCTTATATCTGATTAGTCCAGCCTTTGAATGGTTTTCTTCTTTCGTTTAGCAAGAAGATCCTTCATAACCCAAAGGAGTTTCATTGAAAGAAGGTAAGTATAACCCATTAAACATCATAGAAGAAATTTATACTATTTAGAGTAAAAATATGATATAAATCTTTCTTGCTTCCAAATTTAGCTTCCTATTCTCCTGAAGCTTTGAGCTCAAGTTTTCAACCTTTTCCTCGTTTTTCAAAATCTCAAAATAAAGTGTTTCTTCGATAAATTTAAAGGGAACTAAGAAAAAATGATCTTTACTTTTCCTATAATGTACAACCCAAAACAATTTTATTAATCAGATTTCTGTGAAGAAATATATACCAGCAATGTTTTTCATGGACATAAAGTAGATCATCTCTTTTGTTTTTAAGCCCAAGACTCTGGAGAAATTCATTCTGTGATAAAACTAAAGAAACTCTCTTTCTTTCTTTCTTTCTTTCTTTCTTTTAGAATTTACCATAAATTTAATAGGGGTTCTCAATTTCTTTGTCAAATTCACAAAACAGTAAGAATGAGACATTGGCCCTCTCTAATGGCACCATCTTTTAAGAAACTTGCAGGCTTCGCTTGAAAGAATTGTGATATTATCCTTAATAGTGTAGGGATTGTAGCCACTAAGGTTAATATTTTTCATCTATTAGCAATCAGCCCACTAATAACCTCATAGAGCCAATCTTTTCGATGACTCTGATGCTTCTTTTATTCCATATGAGTGAGAAGACGAGGACCAAATCAAGAAAGGTGTTAATAAGGAGGCGTTAAAAATTGTCTAAATGTCTGATTTTTCTTGATATCTCCATTGAATAAACATAGGACTTAGTGCGCTTTCTGAGAATTCATCACTAAGATTATTATTATATTTCAGATTCTGCAAGCCTCAGTTGAAGCTGGGCTTGTTTGAAGAATATCGAGTTTTAGATCAGGAATTTTTCTTGTGGGCAGTTCGATCTTTGAGTATATAGAGCTTAATTTCTATCTCAGAATATTACTTATTAACCAAGAAGATAGATAAAGATATCCAGAGCCTATTTCTGTAACATTTCCTATGTTACAGACTCTAAAATTTTTGATATGCTTTCTTTGTTAAATAATTTTAGAAGAAGTAAACGTGAGGCTGTTGTATTTTGAGATTCTCTGCTTATTGGCTCTTTTACATTTCTTAATTGAACTCGAGAGCTAATTCGATGTGTAAAACACCCTTTCTTTTTCTATTGCCACCTTGAAGTGTTAGGTTAAGATTTCTGGAACTTAAAACTTTAATTTAATTTAAAGTAAGCTTTCTCTTAATTTTTCCAAGAGACTTAGAACAACTCAGCTCTGTACGAATTTTAGTAATTCTCATCTTGTTTTGATGGATTCTGATTTTTACATTTTTAGATTCTTTGGTCAATGAGAAAGAGCTTTAATATCTTTTCATTTCTCATACTCCATTAAAATCAGTAAGCTGGGCATCGTTCTTAGCTAAAAATATTCCTCTTTTTATTTGATCTCATTTTTGAATCCTATTTAATTTCAATGAATTGTTTTTAAATAGGGGTTTTGGGGTTTTGGGGTTTTGGGGG